TGCTGTGATCTTCCTGTCTGCCTTCTGACAAGCTAAATATTATCTCTAAGATTATATATCAGATGTGGAGTAAGAAACAATAAATCATGATCAAATTCTTACTGAAATTCAGCTACTGCAATGTTTTAAGTTTTTCCAAGTTACAGTCCATGTTTTAAATTATAGTTCAACTTTTTTTTTTTTTTTCCTCATACTTGCAATACTTAACTTTGCTCTAGTTTTACTGTGAGGTGTAGGACCCATTCATAGACTCACAAAATGAAGGCAAGGCTCCCCCATGTGTCTCTCTGCTGACCTACCACGGTTGGATCTGAGGAGTCACTGCAGATTTTTATGGGAGGAATGACAGGATATGGGGTTCCAGAGGAATATCACCAGGGAGCAGTGACACACATACAAAAACTGCCAAAGGAAGATGAGGCTGATCTGACATAAATTGCAAAGCAGTGATTTTTGAGACAGTATCTGTTTTGGTATTTGAAGTTAATCAAAATAAGGCATAAAAAGAAGACTTTTTCCTACTCTTATTTTATAGGAATATTGTTACCAGAAGCAAAATTTGTGCCTCTGATGGAAGTGTTATTCATATGTTCTTAATGCTGATTGGTTTTGGTTACACAAAACAGGTGTGTGCAGCAGATCCCTTGAACTGTGGAAGCTACTCCAGCTTATCACATCCACTCTGTGACGTCTTTTAAGTCAATCTCTGTGTGTTCCAGAGGCACTTCTGTAATAAAATTTATGAATTAGCTTTAGTATGTTACTATCAGTATCACTGCCAACCCCCTGAGTTGTACAATGTAGATTTTTTGTCCTTTCCATCAGCTGATTTAAGTAATAACAATAAAAATGCCTATTAAAGGCCTCTAGGTGCTGTGACAATTTTAACACAATCTAATACCAACAGCACAAAAACCTCCAAATGATGTCTAACAGAAACAAATTAACTTTAAAAAGTCTGCCAGTTGGTAAATAGGCTACAAAATTGTTCCTGTTCACCTTAGGACTGGGAACAAGCTTTCAACCTCTACACAAATGCTGGCAATTGCAAGAGAATTAATTGAAACAATTCAGTGTTACTAATTATTTAGAGAAGTTTTAAAAATGCAGAGATGAAATTTTAATGTGTGTTTTTTTTACTCAAGTTGAATTTATGTTGAGTGGGCTGAGTAAATCACTGCCCCTGCTTTGTTGCTGAAGAGCAGTGATTTTCTGTGAAGAGATGTGTTACTCTTGGGTCTGTTATGAGCAGAACTGTGTCCTCCAAGCCTCCTGTGCATGGATGGTGCACACTGGATTTGAGACTGTCAGTCCCCAGGTGGCCATCCTATCCCCAGTCTTTTATCAATGATTTATGTGATTTATGTGTAAACTACTCAGGATACCTGTGCTGGTTAAAGATAAAGCTCCTGAAGTTTGTTTTCTCTCATGGATGTGTCTGACTTTGAGTGTTTGATCCAGCTGATGAACTGTGAGATGAAAGTGTTTGTTCCAGGTGTGTGTTGGGATTGCCACTCAGGAGTAAATCATATCATCAGCCTGAAAAGGAAATGTAAAATTGTAAAAAAATATTCTAAACAGAGGCTACTTCAGACACAAAGTATTTCCCACCACCTCATAAAACAAATAGTGAGCAAATAACTGTTGGAACTGAGGCAGGTCTTTGGCAGAGCTTTGGTTACTGTGTGTGGCACATGGTGGATCTCATCTTGGTGGTGTTTTGATCTGGTCTTTCCTTACCTTATGTGTGTACTCTGTGAAGCAAGTTTTACATCAGTTTCTATTGCTGCTCAGTTCACAGCCTTTAATTCTTTTCTATTCTCCTTTTTAGGTGACTGTAGCATTTAACCTTTCCTAGACCAGTACATAAGGTACTCCTCCCTCCTCAGTTGCTGTTTCAGTTCTAGAAACCAGCAGATGGGTTTAACCATAGATGCCCTAATGTGTGACAGCTTAAAAATTCTGACATTTCTTTTGGCTTGAACTGGTCCTGCTACCAATTAAACCATGATATCATGAAATGGAAATAACCCTGTTTTTCACATGGTATAGACTAGATGGGAGACTTTACCAATAAAAAGGTTGTTCTTTATAAAGATAATTCTGCTTGAAAATTCTTGTGTTATACAGGAGTAAGAAGAATAGCATTCAACATTGTGCTTCTTCTACATGCAAAGTGTTAAGGATACTTAAAGTAAGATTTTAAAAATGTGATTTTCTCAAAGACATTTGAATTTTTTTTTGTGGGATTTTTTTGCCTTTCTTCCACATCCCATTATTCTTCCTTTTTTTCTCAATCAACCGTTAATGAGGAATTCAGTTAAAAAAAAATGCGGTGAGGATAAACAGACCTCACAGGCTCCTCATTCAGCTCAGCAGGGCATTAGAGCTCAGCTATCCTTCATTTCACAGTGAAGATGATCAGTTCTGGGTGAGCACTTTCAAAGGGCAGGGAGTTTTGGAAGGTGCTCGCAGGATGATGGATGGCCGTGCCTGTCCCGCTGTGTGCTGCGGGAACAGGAGGGGCCCGAGCACGGCCGGCTGGGCCCGGGGCTCAGCCCTGCCCGGGCAATGCGAGCGGGGCCGGCACAGGGCACTGTGAACAGGGCTGGCACAGGGCACTGTGAACAGGGCCGGCACAGGGCACTGTGAGCAGGGCTGGCACAGGGCACTGTGAACAGGGCCGGCACAGGGCACTGTGAACAGGGCCGGCACAGGGCACTGTGAGCAGGGCTGGCACAGGGCCGGCACAGGGCACTGTGAACAGGGCTGGCACAGGGCGCTGATGAACAGCAGCCTCTGGAGCGTGGTCCTAGGGAGGCCTCAAAGATGTCCTGATGACTTTTGTTTTAAATTCCCCCTTTCTTTGTGAATCCTTCGGTTGCGCTGCTGTGTGTTCCTGCCACGGGCTGAAAGGCCTGGGAAGGTGTTTCTGCTTTTCTGAGATGCATGCTGCAATATTCCTCAACAAGGCACCCTTGATTTCGGTGTGTTCAAATCACTTGGGACTTTTGAAAGATTTTTATCATTTATCCTTTTGGTTGGGCCAATTGTTCTTAAATTCACCTTGCATTTTTACAAGTTTTAAAAAAGATTGAATTTTTTTGCATATAAGATCTTATAATTTTTCTGAATTTTCAATATTAGAATTCCATATTTTCTTTTATCACATGCTTAAGATTATTCAGTGTGTTTGTATTCATCTCCTTTTTTTCTGATTTGTAATTTGTTGCCTAGGAACAGCTGATGTTATCTGTTGTCAAAGTGCCATTGTAAAGTGAACAAAACCTTCAAAGCAAATAAGTATTTTACTCTAGTTTAAAAACTATGGGTTTTTTCTTTTTTTTTCCCTTCTACATTTCATTATTGACATTACCTGCTAGTGATGTTAAAGTCTTCAAAAAATGGGAATGCCCTCCTCTTGCCTATTCTACCATTAAAGTCAAACACATCAAAAAATACTACAAATATTATAATCCAAATACAGGAGCCCTTTTGCTTTTGCACCTGTATTTGGATTTTGGTAAAATGACGTTTCAAAAAAAACCATAAAATACATAGAGATGTTAACTCTACATAGTAATATCTCATTTACAGCTGATAGGGTAACTACAGCACAAAAAGAGTGTCTCTTTCAAAATAAATATGAGAAGATTTCATAAAGGCCATTATTAGGAAATTACTGTGCCACCTTTACAGAAGCATCCAATCATTTTGTTCAGATGGTGTTGTTGGTGCAGTGACTGCAGAGGGAGCCAACGATCTGATGGAAACAACAGTCCTGTTCCTGGTCCAGCAATGTCAGGACTTTGTGCTCCTGTTTGTTTCATGAGGGGCCACATCAAATCTCAGCTAAGAGAAGAAAGGGAAGAGCTTATTTTGAGAAGGGACAATATTATGGTGTCTTACAGCAAAGAAAAAAGACATGAGCAAGGTCTGCACAGTTATATAACACCTGAACCTTCCGAAAATCTTAATTAAAAGAAATAGGTTCATGTCATTAGAAGTGGAGAATATCCCAGTACCTGCATTAGTACTGGGGTGAAGTTTAGCTCATATAAATTGGTAGCAAATGCTGCCACCTGCAAATCATTGTTGTGTGCAAGGGGTTGGTTGCAAATGCAGTTGCAAGGGAGTAGCTGCAGGAAGCAGAGCAGCCACCCTGGTCCCTGTACTTGGCCTCCTGTGGGTGCCCCATGCCATCACCTCTTAGAGAGCTCCAGGCCCCTTCCTAACTCATTTCTCTGCAGCAATTTTTCACTTGGATTGAAGCCAGCATGTCATCAACAGAGCAGAGAAGCAGCAAACTGAAATGTGGCTAACCCAAAGGTGTGGGCAGGACTTGTGATCACAAAAGGGAATGAGGAGATCCTTCCAGCTTGGAATGGTGACTCTCTAGGAGTGCCAGAACCAGCTTTCAAGAAAACATATGGAGGCAGAACTTCCTAGTCAAAGCATTGTTAACAATCCCTGTTTCACTGTTTTTCTCCTTTGAAGCCTGGAACCAAAACATTTCCCATTTCTTTGCTGGGTGCTGTCTTGTCATTGCTTTGACTGCCCTGCTTCCTTGCAGCTTGTGTATCCAGAAACAAATGTTGGTCTCTATGGTCTCCTGCTTTTGTTTTAACAAATCTTTATTAAAGGTCTGAAAACAATATGCTGAATCATACTACTAAATCTAGCACTGTAGCTGTGAAGGTGTGGCTTTGTTACAGATAGATACAAGGTGTGGTACTCCCATTGATTCTGTTAACAAACCCTTGCTTTAGGATATTGCAAGTGAGACTGGGATATAACTGACTGTTTCTGAGCAAAGACTTGGGGTAGTTTGAAAAGCTGGAGAAAAAGAGACTTCCAGGCATCTAGCCTGTCCATCAGTCCACTGCTTGTAGCAAACAAGTTTTGAAACAAACTTTCAGGAGCATCAATTTGTCTATCTGTACAAGTCCAAATATTTTTTTTTTTTCTTGAGCTTAATTATTACTTTCCTCTTTCTGCAGATCCTAGAAGAAAGTATCACGTAAGGCTGCTGGCATACAACAGTATGGAAGAAGGTTATCAGGCTGACCAAACAGTCAGCACTCCAGGATGTGTCTGTAAGTGTTGTAGATGCATGAAGAATTTATTGAAAGTTGAGGTGTTTCAGGGTCCCAGCAGCTCTGTGTTTTTAACTTTTAAATTATCAAGTAATTCTGTGTAAAACAGAAACAAGAAAGACCGTATCAGTGACAAATACTACCTTAGTCATCCTGCAGCTGAGACACAATCCTGTGCTCATGAAGCACAGCTGAAGAAAGAAGACAGCCCAAGCACATTTCCTTCCCTTGCTGAACTACCTGCATCATCTAACATGATGTGTCTGTATCTTATGAGAGATTTATCTCTTTTTCTTGTCTCTGATAGTTTTGACTTCATTTTTGAATAAATGAGTGGGATTGCAGAAATTATATGGGACATGTATTGGGTTAGGAGGGATCTCCAATAGCTTTAACCAGATTCCTGGGTCTGAATACCTGGTAGTGCTGGGTTAGGGAAGATTTGTATCCAAACTGTGGGCTCAGAGCTCTTAATGTAACCAGCCTCTGTATCCAGTGCAGTTATTAACTCCTGCTGCTATTTTGTTTTAACCAGCTGTCCGTGACCGCATGGTGCCGCCCCCGCCGCCCCCTCACCACCTCTATGCCAAAGCCAACACCTCCTCGTCCATCTACCTGCACTGGGGCAAGCCTGCCTTCACCTCCGCCCAGCTCATCAACTACACCGTGCGCTGCAACCCCGTGGGGCTGCAGAACGCCTCCCTGGTTCTCTACCTGCAAACGTGAGCAGCTCCTGGGACTCTTGGATTGCCAGCTCCACACCATTCCCACTCACTTTCTACTCTTCCTGCTCTCTTTTAATATTCTTTTACAAGCAACAACTTTTATTTCCCTCAGAGGACTGTGTGTTTTGCCCATTGGCTGCTAGGGGTTTTTTAAGATCTATTCATAGAACAACTTCATTCTCTACTGGTGATCCTTGTGTTGGGTCATTGATTGTTTAGTGTCTTTTTAGCTGTCTAGGTTGAATTTAATTTTAAGCTCTTTTTCAACTATATAAAAGAGCATACCTATTTTATAAGTAGCTTGTCTGGGCAAAGATGGGGCTTAGTCCAGGGTCTGATTTTAAGACCAAAAATGAGAATTTTTGAGGGGTTGAGCATTTCACTGTGGGAATGCCATGTTCCTGAGTGTGTGGCCCCCTGCCAGGGGAAAGCTGAGTAGGATTGCTTGCTCTGCAGAGAAGCAATGTGTGGAGCACAGCATGGCTGAACAGGGAAGGGAGCCTGCCTTGGGCTGCTCTTCAGCCTCTGCCCAGGTGGTGTGGGAGCAGAACACTTCGCTCCATACTGGGGGCTGTGGGGCTGCCAAGGGAATCCATGTGTGTAGCTCCCTCAACTTGCGTAAACTTCAGTTTACTCAAGCCTCTAAATAAGAAAAATGATGTCTTAAAGGATAAATAGTTTCCATCCTTATATTCATGGTTCTCTCTTCCAAGAACACATCTGCTCTATAGCTGCCAGCTTAATGATTAGGCACAGTATAATCACCGTGTAAAGTTCTTAGTGTGCAATGTGGAGCATAGCAATGAGTGCTGCTTTCTGTGATAGGATGAGGCTTTTGCAAGGACTGGTTACTGCCCCTGCAGTACAGAAGATGAAAATACTAAATGAGATTTAATAAAGCAATATCTGTAGAGTAAGACCATTTTAAACTGAGATTTAATCTTGATGATGGGGTATTATCATCCAGAATTAACCCTGGCATATACGAATGATTTCCCTCTGCCCCAGAATCAAAGTAAAGTGAAATGTCTACAATTGACTTTGTGATCAAATTGTAAACTGCAGTTTATAATTAATAGAATCAATTCTGCAATTAATATATTACTAAATATTGCTACCAGATCAGTAAACAGCATTCATATTCATCCCCTAAACATGGGGTATGGAGGCCATAAGTGGAAGGGATGTTGCCCATACAGCCTCTGTGTGTGAACTGGGAAGCAGATCCACGTGCCTTGTCAGCTGTGATGCTGGTTGAAGTTTGTTACTCCAGCTTGAAGCACAGTGTCCTATGGACAAGTGTGGAAAGAGCTGAGTTTGGGATACCTGCTGATGATCCAGCCAATAATACTCTTTGTGCATCAGCTGTTCAAACAACATTTATAAAAACTTGAGCTCACATCAATTGACAGCAGATACAACATCCTCCTGAGAGCTCCAGGGCTGGTGCAATTGCATTTCCAGATAGGCAGCACAGATGTGCCACATGTCTGGACTTGGACTGGTTTGTCCTGTGTTGAACTGACAGTGGGGATCTACTCATGTGACTGAGACATCTGATTTGGGGATCCTTAAGTCAGCTGCTGCTGTTTAATACATTTTATTCCTTCATCTGTCCAGGTCAGAGACTCACATGTTAGTTCAAGGTCTTGAGCCAAAAACCATGTATGAATTTGCAGTTCGACTGCATGTGGACCAGCTCTCCAGTCCTTGGAGTCCTGTAGTCTACCACACTACACTCCCTGAAGGTAAGGAACCAGAGGAGAGACCCTATGGTCCTAAAAAGAACATTTTGTAAACCAAATAGACTGAAAAAGTGCTTATTAATTTTAGGCTGTGTGTAGGAGAGGGAAATCCTTTCCTCTGAGACACAGATAGTGCTCATCTTGGTGAGAGAGAGAAAAATGCTAGCAGGGAAATCCCTGTTTTGGAACTGTAAAATTCTTTTTCAAAATCCACCCTAAATCAGCATTGATTTTTGTATAAAGTGTGATGCTTTCACTACTAGCAGCAACTGACTAGAAATAACTTGAATAAAAACCTTAGACTATGCATATATTGAAGAGGTGTGGCTGATTAATAGGCATTTATGAAAACATATTTTAAATCCCAGAAGTTTTGGAAACTGTAAGAATTCTACACATCTACTGCCTTAGCTGCTGGTTTGATTTACTGTCAGCTTGGTAGGCGAAAATCCACACCTGCAGCTCCATGTTCTCACCAAAGCAATTTTGGGAGGTATTTGTTCATACAAATGGATAATGAAGTGGGAGGTTGTCAGTAACTGTTTCTTTCTGGAGATGAGGGAAACTTGCTTTTACAGAATCTAAGCTATTGACTGGCTCAGAGGATACAGGAGAGTGTCTCTGAGGAGCAGCATGTGCTTGTTTCAATGTGGTGTCTGGGATGTAGCAGTAGCCATTAGGACTGCACATCAGTTCCTTTCTGAGCAATTTAATTGCATGTAAATTGGGTTAGCCTAATAGCATTGTGTTACTGTTCTCACAGCACCATCTGGCCCTCCAGTAGGAGTGAAGGTGACTTTGATAGAGGATAATACTGCTTTGGTTTCCTGGAAGCCACCTGATGGTCCTGAAACAGTTGTCACACGGTACACTATCCTCTATGCATCCAGGAAGGCTTGGATTGCTGGGGAATGGCAAGTGTTGCACAGAGAAGGTAAACTAAAATCATGAACCTATGAACTGGACAAACACTGATGCTACTTATAAGATGCTTTGTTACTTTCAGCAACCTTGGACTGCACTTCTACTATGAATTATGAAATAATTCATATAAATGTTCACATGAAAGTTCCAAAGAGTTTAGAATTATTGCCATGGGAAGATGTATTAAAAAACAAGTTCATATTCAGAAGGTGAGGGGAGAAGGGGCTCTCTGTGTTGCTTTAGAGCTCAGTGTGTGCATGTATACCAGAATGTCTTGTAAATCCAATTACATCCATCTTAGTTTCATTGTAACCATGATTGTGATGGTTTTCATTTTGTAAGTGCACTCTTTCAAGTCTGCAGTCTCTGAGATGTTTAAATGTGACTGTGTGGGTTTCTATGTTTCTCTTGATCACTGCCAATCCAGTTAGCTCAGTTTGCTTAATGAACTTTCTCCTACTCCCAGTAAATCACTCTGCAAATTCAATTTAACTCTCTGGCTCTATTCTACTGCTGAGCCCAAGCTAATCTCACAGTACCTTGGGTATGCTGATGTGAACTGCAGTCACATCTCTGTGATTAAATGTCGAGATAGTAAAAATTTTTGTAGGCACTTTTCTGAATAATACTGGGATTTGAGGAGCTGAATCAAGGACAGATTTCTAGTGTAGCCAGAAAAAAAAGTAAAAGGCATTTATTGTTCTGTTGATAGTCAAAATAGACAGAAGTAGTTCAGAATAGATAATGTTCTGATAATGTCTCAAACCAGAGAGGAAAGCTCAGTGTTACAGAGTGAAGTCAGGTGCTTGAGCAGCCTATTTAAGAGGATTGCCCTGGAAGAGTTACTGTTTCATTGTTCTGCTTTGTTACCTGGCTGGAAACTTAGCTGTCAGCAGAGAGTGAGGCTGTAAATTTTCTGTGGAGATAATTCTAAAAACTTAATGAGTAGCTCTCACAGAGGATAATTCATTTCACCATCATGGAGACTGAGCTGTTCTAGTTCAGAGCTGTTGTTCTTTGTGCTGCTTCTGAGGAGAGGGCAAAGGCCCAGCAGCCCCTGTGAAAGGTGGCAGTGCCACTTGGTCTGCTGCAGCACAATGCAATTTGTCAGGCTGGCCTCAAAGAGAATGGGCAGTGTGAAAAGTAACAGAAAAATGACTATTAAACTAAATCTGTGAAAAACAACTACTGTGAAATATCGATCACATCTAACTACAGGGGAAGATTGAGCCAACAGGTTTTCACTATTAAAATTGTTCAATGAAATAGTAATTTCAATAAAGTTGTCCAACTAAATTGTTGGAAGAAACAGTGATATTGTTATATTAAAGGACAAATTTACTGTTATTTTTTACTCAATAAAAACCCCAGCAGATTTAAATTCACACAGAGCTTATATTTGAAGACTACATCTTGTCTACACTGTATTTGCTGCTTGCAGCAAAGTGGCTGAATTGCTTTCAGATACATTGTTCAGCTCAGTCATGCCTGTGAAACTGAACAGCCTCTCTGGTAGTATTTCACCAGAGATTTCGGATGGCAGGATGGCAATAACAGTAAACATTTTCATGTGGTCCCATACTGGAAGTGTTGGAGGGAATGAGCAAATGGAGAGCTATAAATCTTGGTGTATTACTGTGTCCATCAATGTTAGAGCCACAAATTTTGCATTTTGACAGATATATTAGGGCTTGAGGCGTGGTGTGGAATTCAGGCATCTTGACACATTAGGACAATCTGTTATGTCTTAGTTAAAGTATAGATGAAAAAGTCTTTGAAAGGAAATTAGTATGTAGAGATAAAATTGAGCACATACCATGATCAGTCCTGTGACAGTCCTTTCAAAGATAATTTTAGGGAGAAGCAGGGTTTGGGTTTTTTAATGCATTTATTCTGATTAGATCAGTTAAACCTATGCAATAAATAGCATTGTTTTGTCTTGATGCTAAACTTGTCCTGCAGAAGATTTGTGAAATCTTGACTCCATTCCATTGTCATACCTCCAGAGAAATCCCCTCAAAAAAAAAAAAAAAAAAATTAAAAAAACACCAAACCAAACAACCCCAAACCAAACCACTTATAAAATCCTAGTATGGGCTTAGTTTATTCAGGAAATTTTCTCCCAATCCACCCCCTAATTTGACTGAGCTTGTGTTAGGCCTGGCAAAACCAGAAAATATAACTGCATTTTGGTGCTGATTAATGATGTGAGTTATGTTTCAGCCGCCTCCCCCTTCTTCCCTAGCTCTCTTCAAGTGGATCAGAAGTTACAGCCCTTGCACACTTGGTGTGCAGTAAATCAGTACCAAGTGCTCACTTTCTTTAGCAATGCAGCAGATTGGAAAGGAGCTGGTGGCAAGGAGCCTGTGATATTGAAATGTGACCTTTCACCCTTGCTGGTGCTAAATATTACAGCTCCTTTGGTTACAGATACCTCACATTTTACTTCAAATGCTTTCAGCTAATGGTTTTTTTTTAATGGAAGAACTGAAACAGCTTTTGAAGTAGCTTCCTTTTTGCCAAATGTATAATCTTTTCTGACAACAAAACAACCTTATGTTTTATAGGCTCCCCTGATACTATAAATTTTGACTTCTCAAACTGATTTAAAAAGTTAAAATTTTGACTTAAGCCTGAGAAGGTAAATGGAGTATGTGAAAGCAAAAAGATAGATTTAGTGCTGTAGCTGCCACTGTTAGGGAAATAAAAGTAGCATATTTCTGTGGTAGCAAGAAACACAGGCATTTTAGAGATGAATTGGAATTCTAAGCAGTAGTTGCAGTCCCTGGGCAGGCAAAGCTCTCATTGACTTTGATAGGAGTTTTGCCTGTCTAAGGACAATGCTAGTGTATCCTATTTATGTTCTTAATCTTTTATCCTGCCTTCAGGGACTTTAGGAAATGAGTCCCTAGCACATGAAAAAGACATTTTCTCTAATATTCTTAGTAGCACAGCTTAGATGCACAGTAATCAAGGAAGCCTACACAGGTCTAAATAGGGTTTACTTTTATTTTAAAATCATCGTATAAAGCACTCTTGCAGAGCTGTCCTGTTCATATAACTAGACCTGAAATTTGATAAACTGAACCTGGATTCAGTTAATTTTTGTTCATGGTACAGTAGGTGGAGGAGAGGCACATGTGTTCTATATGAGAGAGGTTTCATGTTCTGGTTTCTCTGCCTGAGAGTCTGGTTAATGCTGGGTGCATCTCCTCACAGATGTGATCACAACATAAAGGCTGTCACACTGAAATGCAGCTCTGCTAGATATAGGGTTGGTGTGCTCTGTGTCATAGCTGATACGTCAATCTTGGTTTTGAATTACTGGCACTTCACAGTGTCCTATGTTCAAATAGAATGGAGAGAAAGGAAGCAAGGGATGAGAATGTAAGGCCTGTGTTCATTCTGTAGCTTGTATATGCAGGGTAGACCATATCAAAGTGATCACAATCCTCAAGCAAGATTTAGAGGTGCTATTGGGAAAAAAGTATAGGTCCCAATGTCTAAATCTGAGTATTTTCCCAAAATTTTGTCAAAATGGAACTGTTTATTGTATCTTTTCATAGGAGCAATGACCATGGCTTTGCTGGAAAACCTTATAGCAGGAAACATCTACTTGGTTAAAATAGCAGCCTCCAATGAAGTGGGAGAAGGACCCTTCTCAAATGCAGTGGAATTTGCTGTCCTGACAAAGGAGACATCAGAGTCTAACCAGAGACCTAAACGCTTGGATTCTGGAGATTCCACAGGTCAGTAGCAATGCTTTAATTACTCTGTCACAAGTACTGGGGAGAAAAGACCCCTGTTTGTTTTAGCTGTAACCACTTTCTGGGTAAACCATTCTGTTTTATGTGAGGCACTCCTAATAGTGTTGCGTTTTCTTCTAAATGAAACAATTTTGGAATTTTTATCTCAGTTCAACTCAGAACTGGTCTAATTCTCTTGCTCAGAAATTCAATGTTTGCCTTTCAAATGAGAATACATAATTGGTTTGAATTTTACATCAGTAACTTTGCAACCAGTCTTTTAAGGCATTTCCTTTTAGTCCTTTATCAGTGGCACTGGGTCTGTCCTCTTCCTCCCCTCTCAGGACTGCACTGACCAGACGCTCCTCTGGTCTACAAGTTTTATTTTCAAAAGTATATAAATGTATGACAGAGAAGGCCTGGAGATCTCATTAGAAGGAAGCATTTGTCTCTGTGGTTGTAACTGTAACCCTATTGATTTCCTGACAGGGGGCAGGAGTTAACTCTTTTTATTTACTGAGCCTTTCTGTGTTCCTTTTTGATACAGCTTATTCTGACTATTACCATCTGGACCAGAAATCAATGACTGGCATTGTTGTTGGGGTTTGCATAGCCTTGACCTGCATCCTTATCTGCATCTTGATCTTAATTTATCGCAGTAAAGCCAGGTATGTTTTTGTTCTCAAAGACTGGCCTCTTTTTCACTGTACTCACTCTAGCATGTGCCTTCTCCTCCAAGAGTTCTCTGAAGTAGTCTGTCTCTTCACCTGTTTCTACCAGTGTTGGAAACAAAGCACTTTGTTGGCTCTTCCTACTGTACCTGAGCCCTCTCTGCAATGAAAAGGAGGAAGAACCCACAGAGTGAGTCAGTGGTGGTGCTTTGACAGCTCAGTATGAGGCATGTTTCCAGCTGAACCCCGGTTTTGGGTCAGATAAGCAAGCTGCTGTTATCATCTGCTCCTCCTGCTGAACCCTCCAGCCTGCCCACACCTGGCTGGCAAGGCTTTATTCCCCTGGTGCTGCTGGACAAGAGGAAGTTTGACATAAAGGAGTTCCATGATGCAGAGTTTAAAGCAGATCCCTGATGCAGTTCCTTTGCAGTGGTGCAAGCCACTGTCTGTGTCTGTCATCAGCTGTTAGAGGGTATAAACTGGCCCAGTGACTCTGCCCAAAACTTTGGGATCAGAACAAATATAAGTCACTTGAAATAATAAATTAAAAAACTCACTGAAAGTGTTTTTTGGTAACAAGGGCTTTTTAGCTTACATTCAGGAAAAAATACAGACTAGGAGACAGTCTCTGTGCAGTATGGTAGAAAGGTCTTAATGTCATTAGTGGTTACTTCCTCCAAGTAATATTACTAATCATGACAATTCCTGTCTGCATATTAGCTTGTAGCCTACTGTGTATGATTAACTGGAAGCAGATGTTATTTTTATCACAAGCAATAACATTTAAATTCCATGTGAGTTAGGAGTATCATATAACAAAATGTAAATGCCAAGAATATACCAGGATTACTTGATTAATAGTAGCTTTGAAGTTTATCCTTGACTTTTTTTTATTGTATTCCTGTGGGTCAATTTTATTCCTCCTTTACATTGTGTAGGAAAGCATCTGCTCCTAAGCCTGTGCAGCAAAGCACTGACCAGCTGTCACACACCAGCATCTCATTAGCCAGCCCTAGTGAGGTGGAGAAGAATATTGAAGGAATTGCAGAGAATGAAGAATCCTTATTGCCAATGATAGTGGGAAACAGCTTCATTGATGCTAAGGTACTGTGAGTTTTACTAACTCTGAGGTCAGAAATCTTTCTTTAGAATTCATTGTTATAATATCAGTCCTTATCAAAAGTAAAATATATATCCTATGAACCTCCAGGAGGTTGTGTTATTAATGGGACAAGTACAAAGTTGGCAATCCAGGCTCAGATTTTCAAGACTTATCTGAAGGTTCAGCTGGAGACCTGGTTGAGTACATTTGTCTTCAACTGTACTCTGCAGATTGCAGTTTGGCCCTGGTACAGCATCAGAGGATGGAGGTTTCACAGACTCGGGGCTGCTCGGTGGCCTCTGCTGGTCCCAGGAGAAAAGTGAGAGTTCCTGTCAGCACCTAGCTCAGTCAGTGCCTGTGCACAGGCTAGTCAACTATGGCACTAAGCAGGTGTTCAGGAAAGGATTCTTTTTCCATATATTTACTGGTAAGACAATGTTGCAGTTTATAAACTCATACTCAGTCACATTATAAGTTAGGCTAGAGGCAGGATGTACCAGTGGATGTGCAGAACCTTCAGCCCAGGAAGCCAGTGTGACACCACCACAGTGGCCTTTCTTTCACATGCACACATACTGTGTTCAGGCTTCTTCTGTTCACACTGCAAACTTGAGTGCAGCTGCTCCCTGAGGAGATGTGTGAGACTGAGAAGTGGAAATGGACCCAGCAGAGGCACAGACACTAACTAGGAATGCTTCACTCTAAGTACTAGAGCAAGAGCAGTAGCTGGAGTATTTTGTTGTGTGCCTGCAGTATTGCAGCCTTGGGTCTGGACAGAAAGCTTGCCAGACTTAGCAGGTCTGCTCTTGACTTGTCTTGAGCAGATGTGTACCAGACCACGAAAATGTGATTCACTACTGAGGCTTCATTTGTCTTCATTTTCAGTATGGAACCAATAGGTAGAAATAGAAAAATATTTTCAAGTCTCTTAGAAATTTACTTTATTAAAACAAATGTCTGCATCTTCCTCTGCTGTAGGGAGGATCTGATCTGATTATTAACAGCTATGGGCCTGTCACAAAGACTAATGGCAAGAAAAGGTGGCTGTTTTTCCAAGATGCTAAGAAGGCGAAGACTGAGGAGGTAATTGCTCTAATGGGCAGAGATGCACAATCTTTACTATAACACACGCTTTGCAAAGGAAGATACATAGTTCTCTGTTTATGAAAAAACATATTTAGTGGTCTTAGTATTAATTGGATAGTTTCAGTTGTGTAAGGTTGATGGTGTTCTATCTCACCATAGTAAAGTCTGACAGAAATTCCATTTTCTGACAGATATTGTTGTCAGTACACTGTGACGCTTTACAGTTGGCAGACACTGTAACTCTGCAGTTTACTGATTGTTTACTTTCCTTTGTATCTGTAAACAGAAAGATTTCTGTGCACTTTGCATTGCATTAACTACTTCTGCAGAGACTCTGTATAAACATAAATACAAATTAAATATATATTTACGAATAAAAATAATATTAAAATAGAAAAAATCCTTTCCTATTCTGGCAGCTAAAATTTTTGTTGGCTGAAGAGAAACAAATAAGGGAAAGTAGATGATATACCCAAAGTGCTGAGAAAATTGAGAGCCTGAGTAGAACTGTCTGGCTTCTGAAATTGTTGGTCTGGACATATTTGCTATTTGGCTGAGAAAAAGAGCAGTTTGAAATTGAAGTGTTAAACCAAATCTGGAACATTACGATGCAAATTCATACTATGGATCATACAACCATTCTTCATTGCACTTTAACTTGTATTGTGCTCCTGTGTGTTTAAGAATTAGAAAGTCTTGATATTTGTGTTGTAAAATCATATTGAAAAATATTTCTACAAGCAGCTGTGTATTTCTGATGCCTCTATATGAAAAATATTTGCTATCACCCAAGGAGTAATGCTTAAAGAATATGCATGAGGGGATGGGAGGGAGCTCTACCAAGTGTGTTTTTAAAATAACTCTTCACGTCTCTCTAGTGAAATAATTTTTTATTAGCCATGCTTACCTAGAAGGATTATTTCATCTACTGTGGAAAAGTATGAGCAAGACTTGAGATTGATTATTTTTAAACTCCTCTAGGAAGAGAAGCATTCTGGTGGAATAGGAGACAGGAAATGCAGTAAAAATTCAAATTACGGCTCAGCTTTTCTGAGACTCTTTTCTGTGTGCTCTTGTGCAGCCCCAGAGGAGGTTCGTGTGCCTGTACCAGCCCGGCCCCGCCGCGCTGCTCCGCCAGGCCGGCTGCCCCGGCTGCCCGGCCTGCCCCGGCTGCCCCGGCCCGCGCTCCGACTTCCAGGCGCCCTTCGGGGCCGCGGCCGACACGGAGCACTCGGCCAACAGCGAGGGGAGCCACGAGACCGGCGACTCCGGGAGGTTTTCGCACGAGTCCAACGATGAGCTTCACCTGTCGGCCGTGCCCGGCAGCGGCCCCGGGGGCGCGGGGAGCCCTGAGGCCGCGAGGCGCTGCCCGCCGCGGGGCCTGCCCGCCGTGCCCGACTGAGCCCGGCCTCCCCGCCCTGGCTGTTCGAAGGACAATGAACAGGAGCCAAAGTTTCGCTGTGGAAAGCCTGGCTAACCTAACAGGCGATCCACAGTTCTGTTGAATGTTGGGGTTTTTTTGGTTTTTTTTCCTGTATTTTGGGTTGTTTTTTTAAAGCTCACTCGTTTTGAATGTTCGGTGGTCAAAAAATGTGAAAGGAGTGAAGATTTCTGACTAAGGTTAAAAATATGTCACTTGAGCAAAGGGAAGGCTGTTGGCCCTTTTGCTGACTATCTACCTCAGTTTGCCGAAAGGTGAACTCTGAATGACGACTGCTTTACCTCATTTGTGTTCTAGTTGGTCTCAGCTATGGAACTGATACTTCCTAGTAGTGTTGTTTTATTTTGGGGTTTTTTGTTTTCATTTTCCCACCTCACCCCAAGTGGTGCGTAGAGAGCGTGTGTGTGTGTGCGTGCATGTGTATGACTCAGTGATCAGGGAGTTGTATAGGTTGGTGGACAAGATTGTTTAGCTGAAGCTCTGTCTTTAAAAAGAAGGAAACCTCAGAGTATAAAATGTTATGATTTCATGTGGTTGACACAGAGTATGTTAAAAACTGGGAGAACTGAGACTTCCACATATACAGCCGCATGAAATCTTTTGTACCTCTTGATTTCTTAGACCCTCAGTAAGCCTAGGACAGTGCCTTTCCTCAGAAACCTGTGCCAGCATATATGCTGTATCCCTGAGGCTCTGGGATGTGCTGGATTCCCCAGAGTGTGACAAATATTGCCCCTGTATTCACAGTTAAGGCTAAAAATAATAGCAAAATGAAGAAGTACTCAGCATTTTCAAACAGCTTGGTTTCACCTGAGAGTTATGGAATAGATGACAACACTGAGTATTCCAGTATCACAGTACTTCTTAGCAGTGGTGCCTTGCATTATATATTATGAAATTACTGATTTGCCTTATTCCTTTTTAGTATTCATAAAGTTCCTTTGGAGTACAGAAAGATGCCTTAAATGCTTCTTAGATATTTTAAATAAACTGTAACGTGAGTTTATAGCTCATTTTTACCCATCTTTGAGTGTTAGCATTGTAGTATGTCTCAGAACTATTGTTAGGATGCAAACCTGCTCCTTGCCTTCACCTAGTGTGCTATTAGCCAGGAATTTTAGCTCAGGGAGTGACTTTACCTATATGCCAATCTAAAACTCTGATTAGGCTACCATGAGAAATAAAAAAAGCCAGAGCTTTAGTTGAAGAGTCTGTTGAAAGAGGTGAGTACTGCTACTGCCTCGAACCCATGCAATTCCTGTTTTATACTACCTCCTTTAAAAATTATTCTAGTGTTTTGATTTTTTTGTTGTTGTTTTTTCCTGTACTCAGGGAACAGTTTGTTACTTTTAAGCTGCCTCACGGAAACGTGAAGCAAACTGACAGGGTATCATTTTGTGTTTTAATAGGAGAGAGCGAGAGACAGGGAGGAGGCTGGAATCATCCAATGTTATAAACTTGCCTGTATCTATATCCGGTCCTCTTCTCACTCCTCTTTCCCTGTTCTACATTTTAAAAAAAGTAAGAAAAAAGAAAGAAAAAGAAAAAAAAATTAGGCATATGTTTTTACTTTAAAAAGTTGTTTAAAATATAATGCTGTGAGAAATCAACCATAGGAAATCCTGGCTCTATTTAAGTCTGTCAGAACTCCCACTGACATTACTGGGGCTGAGATGTCACTTCTAGGTGACACCTGGAGGTGTGCCAGGCTGACTCCTGATGCTCCTCAGTACCTGTAGGTGGTCACAAGTTGTGGGTAAGCCCTACTCTCGTGGTTGGATTGTGCTGAGGAATCGGGCTCTGGTTCCTGGAGTTCTTTCCCCTGGAACTGTTGCCAGTCCTGAAGCACACAGCACACACTCACCTCTCCCTAACAGTGGCAATTCCAATGCTTGAAGAATAATCTTGTACCAAAGACTTTTCTGTGGAGGAGAAGGAGGCCACATATTATCCAAAAGAATTTGAACTAGTTGAAAAGCTATAGGTTTGAAGAGCTGAATACATTTTATTGTCTAAGTAGTTACTAACAGAAGCGAATAGGACTTGATTGTAGTAGCCAATTGCATAGGTGAGTTGTATTCAAGAATTTTAACTACCTTGTTGTTACAAGAGCCTTTAAAGAAAGTTAAAATACCAGCAGATATCTCCAAAGAATTCCAAGTGTATTTTTTTTCTCCAGCTTGTAGTTGATGAACAGTACAGTATTAAGAAAAATATTTTTAAACAGTTTTTTTACTACTTGCTGAAGAAAAAGAGAACTTTTCACCAAAGATTTATTTTCAGTCTTGTCAGGCAGAACGTGTAGTGTACAGCTGTTTTTAGTTAGGTAGAGTGTGAATTAATCAAAACTAGAGTAAGAATGTGTAACTGTAGCATGAAGTTTCACACTTCATCTTTCAGAGTAGCCTCTTGTGTTAGTTGCATTCAGAAAGAGCTGATATGCAGATGGTAACTGCTTCTCCAAAGACTTGTTTGCTGTAAGTACTGGCAATGGGGTATAATTTAATGATCCTCGTTACAGATAAATACTGTAAATCCTAAACTCTTCCTTCCAAAGACCCATTCTGTAGTTTAACCTATGGATAATCTGAGAGAAACGGACTTCATAGAAAATCTGCCAATCTTGTATAGATGTTTGCAGTTAAATAGCCAAAGAGTTGAAAATACTCAGTGTATTAGAGAGCAGCAGAACTGGATTCATCACTTAACATTTTATCAAGCTACTTCTTACCAGCAAATAAAGAAAACCAAAGATATTTAAGGTTACCTCAGCATATAGGCAAGCTTAGTTAGACATTAATTATTCTGTCTTTTTCTTTATTTTTATGTTAACCAAATATAAAACACTTCTCCAGAACCCAGTCTACATTCATATGCTTCCCTTTGGCACAGTTATGATTTCTACAGAGCAAAAATTCTCTCCTCAAAATTCATGGCCTAGTACTAATATATCACAAGATTTTGTGAGAGAAAATTTGTCTTATTATTGAAAACACCAACAAGGTAAGCAAAGGAATATCCAGAAATTGATTATGTCTCTATTGAACTTAGTAGCAGAATCAATCCTTCATAATTGTAACAGTGCAAAATTTAAAAGTTTAAATGCTTTATAGCCTTGAGGCCAACACATGTGATTATAAATATGATCTTACAAATGATAATTTTTTTCAAAGTTTATACCCATGGGAATGAGTTTTTCACTGAATTTTTCATTTCATTTGCCTAGAAAGAGCTGGCAGAACACAGCAGGCAGACTGGTTTCAGGTCTTCCAGGTTTTTCTTCTATGTTGTGTCTGTAGAAACTGGGTCCTGGAGAAAAAATATAATTTCTTAATTATGAATTTTGCTAAATATGTTCTGGAAGATGAACATAAATGTGGAATTTAGTGTTACACTATGTGAATTGATTTTGTTTAAGTGTTGTAAGAACTAAGGGTCCATGGCTGGTGTAATGAGTGTATGTGCAACCCTTGTGTTATAAAAAAAAAAAAAAAGCAAAAATGTTACCGTTGATGTGACTTGAAAAGCATCAAAACTTACAGAGGAAACCTCCAAACTGACTTCCATGGTGATAGTCTTTGTAAGAAAGGATCTGCCCTTCAGTGCCACAGCAAGGCCTGGGGTCAAAACTAAATACTCAATCTGCCCACAGCTATACTTGTATGCTTTCTTCATGTTTAACAAATACAAAGCACTGCCATCTTTCAGGAGTTATCCAGGACTGGGAATGTGTGTGCTGTGCAGGACAGGGCACATCACTTGGTTACTTTTTAATCGCTCTGTTATTGTTATGAGAAATCTGAAAAATCTACATATCACTTTCAGTAATTTCCTATATTAGCTCTCCATTTTTTGGATAACTGATACTATTTTTAACAGGAAAGAGTATCAAGAGATTGCTTTGCCTGTTTTTCATTATTCCTATAGTTCATTCCTTCTCTGGGTTTAATCCCAAGCTTTTGATATGAGCTTCATCATGTTTGTCTTATTCAAATCAGGGTCCTCATCCTGTTTCTTTTTAAGTCTATGGGAGAATTAATTTGTATTTCAGTTTGCATAGTCTGGACAAACAAAATAAGCTTATGTTTGTTTTTTAAATTTTCACACTACTATTATTTTAAAAGGACAGAAGTCTTAGAAATCTCCATGAATCCAGTATTAGACTGTAGTAAACATCAGTATTTCAAGTCAGTTTACCTCTTTTTCATTGCAAATCAAGTCAACTTGAATGACTTCTCATTTGCTGCAGCCTGGGTGTACATAAGCATAGTTATTGTTGGCTCTCAGTAAAATGTAACTTTTGTTCATTTTATGAATTTTTGCTCATTTCATTAAGTTCATGCAGGGAAAATTCCATCTCCTAACATGGGGAACATTGGCAGGTTTTGGAGGGCACTCCATGTTTAGCCCAAAATCCCATTCATGGCAACCAGAGAGAGCTGCACAGGTGTAATGCTGGTGGTATTTCACAGAAATCAATTAACTGACATTATTCTCATAAAATTGAAAGCAGAATTACACTTAGTAATTGCTGAAGTGGTAGTTCTTAGCTTGAGCAATTGTTACACGCTTGCAGTTGCTGCAGCTGCAGCTCTGCTAATGGCAGGCAGCCTCTAAAGCAGAGGGATTCCTCTCTCCTGGAAATACTGAGCACCTTTCTACAATAACACTATAGCAGTTTGGAGCATGTGTTTCAAAAACCACAGTTCTGCAATACAAGTCCAAACCCAAATCACTTTCTGTTAACAGAGAAAAGAACATTGGCTCAAATGTAAGTTTTATTTTTTGAAGTTCCTCTAGATTTATGCTGAGCCCACTCCTGACTGACTCAAAAGGGAAATAAAATCATGCTTAAGGCTTTGCTGTGTTGGGCCCTCTGGTTCCATAGGGCTCCTTCAAAAACAGAAGTTTTCAGCTTTTCATGGTTGCATATACTCACATTGCATCTGCCTGGTGTGTTTTCAGTGAAGACTAACTGTATATGAAAAACTGATTTATACAAATGTTGCTTTTTGATTGTTTGGGTTTTTTGTTTTTTTTTTTTTTTTTTTTTTTTTTTTAAGTTGTGAATGACTTGCCAGTGTAGGAGCCAGGTGTGTATCTGACATTGTGGTGGTCTGGATCCTTTCACTCTGTGTGCCATTTTCTTCTAAGGGCAGCAATGGCTGACTGGCTAATGGAGGATGGAGCTGAATTGTATTAATTTTATATTTGTCTCAGGGGATCAGCTCCATGAATTCCATTGCATGAGGGAAGCTAATGTTTGCCCTGATTTGAATGTAACTTTTTAATGTCTTTTAAAAACTATTTTGTTTAATAATGTGGATTTGTTTTTCTTTTTCTAGCATTCTAGTAAATGTTACCTAGTGTGTTGGTTCATTTTCCCCCTCCAGGGTTGTTTATATACTACCCCAAGGTCATGCCAAAAAATAATAGAAGTTTAAATGCCAAATGTTTATGAAACTGCTGTCTAAATACTGATTGATTGCACAGTTGAAATAAAAGTTTTCCTTAGTAAAAAAGTTACTTGATATTTTATTTTCAGTGTCTCTTGAAGAGTGGCTCAAAACAAGGAAGATAAAAACTGCAGCAACTCATTTCAGGCTGAGCAGATAGGGATATTGTTGGCACTTGAAGTCATAAAAAGAGGTAGACAGTAAACTGAACTTATCATTGAATTTCATAGAACTTTCCCAAATATGTATTCATTTATCACTTATGTACCTGGAATTATTTCCCACCTAAATCTCTGTGTCCCAGTGCTGAACACCCATGCAAGATCTCTGTTCTGCTTTATTTTCATGAGGTATGAAACATGTGGTTCTTTCTCAGTGCAGTTGCTCTCAAAAGCCTGGAAAGCTGCTGACAAAGCTGCACTGCTGAGTTTCCCCAGCACATTTACACCTGCTTCTAAGCTTTTGTTTGCAATAGTAACTCCTTGGAAGAGGGACCTTTACTGTTTAGTTATTGCTACTGAGAACAAGGATCCTGGACTGTAAAAATGAACCTGTACTAACCAGCAGTAATGTAACTGGAAATTGCATCTGGTTCCTGTTCTCACCTAGAGAAAGAGCAACATCTCTGGTGGATTGCACTGGTAGAAGCAGCCCTGGTTTGGGATCTGATGCTGTGCTACCTGCCTGCAGTCTGCCACCAGCTTGAATGTTGAGCTACAGACAGGTGAGTGCTTTGGGCCACTTACACTGTTTGGCCACATTCATTGAGGTGACAGCATTGCTATTGTTTTGTTTAGTTATCAGTGACAACAATCTACAGTCTTAGCTTATCTGTTTTTTGGATAAGAGGATCAATACCTTGGAATATGAAGGCCAGCTGGGCTAAGAATCTCCTTTGCACCTGAAGCTAGACTTCACATCTTGTTATATATGAAAAAAGACCTCTGCTTTCCTTCCATTTATTAAAGTTACTTCTCTGAATATATACAAGTAAATCCAGTTGGGTTTTCTGTTTGGGGATGCATAAACATTTGTTACCTGTAGGATTAAACTGTGCCTTCTGATACATGTTGGTACTGTGCAGCCCAGCCTGTTTTCCCTTCTTCCCGTCTCTGCAGTCATGGCTCAGCATTGATTGCTGGAGAGTAAAGCATATCCTCTGTCAGTAAGAGAGAAGCTGCAGGTGCTAATGTTGCTGCTGTCCATGTTGCAGGGTTCTACTCCTTCTATAACTGATATATTAAGCCTTGGCTTCACCTTTTCTTCCCCACACAGCAAAGGAGATGGGATTTGAACCCCTCTCTCTTCACATACTTGCATATTAGAGCCCCAGGTAAACACATTCAGATTTGACAAGGAGAGATCAAACTGTTTCTACCTGAAAGAGGAGTGTAAGCTTTATTTAGATCCCATAATTTAAATGCTATTTACACAGGAAAATACCTTTAAGACATACAGGAAATAGAAATAATTCAGGATCGAGCTGTGCTCAGTGACAGAGATGCTGTTCACAGATATCCCTGGCCCATAGGTTCACTCTTGGCTGCCAACAGAGGCCTGGGCTCTGAGCTCCTGCCCGTCCTGGTGGCTCTGCGTCCCCTGCAAGGACCAGCTGAGGTGGTTTTGGAGTGCTGCCAAGTGGCCCAAGTTCCTCTGGAGAGAGGACTCAAGTGTCACTGGAAGCTGACCAAAATTCCAGGTGGGTTCAGGGAGTGCTGGATACTGTAATTATCCACAGTTTTGAAGGGTGAAAGTAAATTTTTATGGGCAATGGAAGATAATGTTTCCTATTACACTCTGCGGGACATTTTAAATCACTGCCTAAAACACTGGATTCTACTTTAGCTGGAAATAAAATGGGGACTCCCCAGAGCTCCTGTTAATAGAATGGTTTTGAATTTCCTTTTATCTGCATAGCAATACACTGGGAAAAAAGATTTTCATGAGTAAAGCAGCAAATTTCTGGCTAGGCTGCCAGGCTATTGCACCACATGAAAGCAGGAAAAGTGTTGCATACACTGCAGCTCACTACAGCCTTTTAACAATTTTCAGTTTGGTGTGCTGGTCTAGGAGATTAACCCCCCTGGTTTGCTGAAAACTATCAGCAGGGGATGAGTGACAGGCCTCAATCTATGCTGCCTCCTCACTTTTTGCAGTTTACAGACACAATAGCATAAAACAATCCCACTGAACTACTTGCTCATAGCCTTCCTTATGAGAGGTTATACAACTGAAGTTGGAAGTAAGATAGTTTACAGCACAGACTGTAGAATAATAAAAAAATCCCATTAAAATTATTCATGTTAGCAACCATCCTGCTTTGGAATAGGTCCTGAATATTTAAAAGTCAGTAACAGCTTGCTCAGTCTCTACCAAATAAAACAATCTGGCTTTGCTTTACACAAAACCCACAGTCAAGGCAGAATGAATCCCTTGAGATCGAGATTTCCAGCTTCAAAGGATAAGTAAACCCCAGGCTTGAGTTTCTAAGTATTTCAATTAAAATTCCTCTGATAAATCAAAAGAAAGACAAGCTCTAGTTCATAATAGGAAGAATTCTGGCTTTTAAAATACTTTACAGAAAAATGGCTATATTAAGGAGCAAAGCACTCTCATTTTTTGTAGACTGCTTCTCCACCTCTGTGGTGTAGGCAGCATAGAATACAATCAGTGGAGAAGGTCAGCGTGTCAGAAGCCATTGTAGCACAGTGACAGCCCCAGGCAGTCCCCAGGAGCTCACCTGTGCTGGGAAAGGCTCAGAGGTCACCTCATGCTGGGCTGTGGAGCACTGGCCAGGGTGGGACCCTGGCACCCAGCAGTGCTGGCTGCTGCCACAGCCGGGGGTTCAGAGGTCTCAGCCCAGGGGAGGAGGTTGCCATTTACAGTGGGGATGACTGGAAACAGCCAGAAACAGGAGCACTCTGCAACTTGGTTTAGCATTCAACAAGGTTTTAAGAGTTTATGATGATGTTTCTTTTCTGTAGCTCAACAGGGCCAAAATGTAGAGCCCAGCCCTGCAGTTGCAGATAAGAAAATGACAGGATCCCCAGAGGAACAGCTGTATAGCATCCTAAAACCTCTGCCTCTAAATATCCCACTTGGAATTGTCCCCACTAAACATAATACATGCCAAGTAATTTAATCCAGTTTGGTGTTTGCAGACAGATAGTGCATATCTTTCAAATAATTCTACATTCTTTTCTTGAAATCCTGGATTTCATGTGAATTTTAGCCTGGGGATTAGGGAGGCTCCTCTCAGATGTAATGGGTGAGTGCAGCATCTATGTAACTAGGTCATGGTGTACTTAGGCATATTTAGTTATCTCTTCTTGTGTTCTTCCCTACTTTAGGGGCACAATAAACAAAAGAGGGAATGAAGTTTGATTTATCTCCTCTCCAAGGATGGCAGAAGACATTTCATAGTGGAGTTTTTTTGCTACATTTTCTAACAATGTTTGTGATTTTTCTTTTTCATTTTGGATTTTGTAAGCAATGAAGTGCAGGAATTAAATGCTTCCCTTCTTTTCATCAGACCACGATAAACAGGAAAATGCAAAGGATTCAAGATGATGATCCAGAAAGAGCAAGAAATTGCATTTCTTTCCTTTCCCCACAGAGTGTCCCCATTTCACTGTTCGTTGCTCAACAGGCGACCACCTCTGAGTAGGCAGAAGTCCATTTTGCAGAGAAGCCTGCAAAGGTTATTAAGCATGTATTTGTCCCTTTCTGAAAGGTACTGTATTGCAGTCAACAAGGCAAACTGAAAGTTCCCTTTTACTTATCACAGAGGTTCTGTCTTGGTGACCTGAAAATCAAATGAGGTTTTTTAATACATATACACACACACACTGGATTGCTTGTCAAAACTTTTGTTGTTTGGTGTATATATAGCTGTAAATACAATAATTAAACTTAAGTTCCTAGATAATCAATATAATCTTTATATTTTAATTCTTTAGATGCTAATTATTTTTATATATTGTATATAAAAATTTATAGTTTAAAACTAATGCAAAATTGTAGGTTTTAACTTTGTAAGTCATGCATTGTTGGCAAGAGTACCTGAGTACATGAAAGCTGCTGCTTTTCCTGATATATTTGAGCATATACATGTTTTAGATGTAAACTGAAAAAATAAGTGTGCACTCAAAAAAAAAACCAATTAGTCTCACTAGGTTTCATAACTAAAAGCTTGCTTTGAACTTCAAAAATTTTGTTCCAGTATAGATATGACACTAGAGTGGCCTTTGCACAGCTGAGACTTTTTTTGATCAGTTCACTAATAACTTGTCTTGCAAAACCTAGAAAAATGTGTTTCATCAGCCAGTGATTTGCAATGTGATTAGACAAAGTCATGATCATTCTCAGACTTGTATCATATGGAAGAAAACTAATGTAATGGGTAACAGATAAAAACTTACATTCTTCCATGGATCAATTCATAAGCCAATATATTTTGCACTTTTATCCTACAAACAGTTTTGTATTAATTTCAGGCTGAAGTTAAAACATGAATAAACTATTAATTAGATTCTGTTTTGTATTTTGTACTTTATATTATGTGGCTAAGTGCCTAGTGCAGAA